ACACACACATACACACACATTTTAAGAAAGGAAAAAACTGTATAAAATTTGTAATAGTCAACATATACCGGTAATGTTTGTTATTCTGTATATTGTATCTTATATCTCTTTTAATTGCAGAAGTCAAACGACTTGAGTTCTACAATTTTCATACAAATTTTTCCTTTCTTAAAATGTGTATAATTTTTTTGACACCCTCTATATACTTACTGTTCATTGAGTGGAAGTGGATCATTGTAAAGGTCTTCAACCTTGTCTTAATGTTTAGAAGACTTAAGGAGAAGAAGGAAAGGAAGGGGCTGGTTTTGCTGTCTCAAGAGTGGCCGAGGTAGAAGAAGATCCATGTGTTAGGGGGCGCCCACAGTTCAAACCCATGTTGTTGTTCCCAGGACTGCTGTATAATAAAGATACAACCATGATATTAGGTACTTTGAATCATTTCTTTGTTGGAAATACCTAATAATGATTAGCAAATAAAACAAAACATGAAACCCTAAAGCTCTTAACAACTACCAGTACCTTGTTAGTTTTTAAAATAATCCCTAAAATGCCAAATACGAAAGCAATTTGGACTTTACAAAACTCATTTCTATTAGTCCTCATGTCTTACAGAGTTTATAGCCTTCTATTTATAAGCATCATCTCATTAGGAAAATGCAAAACTTCAGAGGCACCATGAAAAATTGTGTGAAGAAGAACTTTAAAATTGTAAAATCTTAAAGTTGTCACATTCCTTAAAAATAGCCTGCTTTTGCAGTTAGAAGCTTGAGTGGGTTCTCACTGATTAAAGTTTAGAACCTCTTAAAGTATTTAATGAACCAAAACAGTTATTCTGATATTAAATACCCTCACAGTAAATCTTTAAGAAGTTTAGCATTGAACCAGAGTAAGTTTTTTCGTAAATTAAAACAACCATTCACTTTAATACATATTAAGAGGTTCTGAAACATTTGGCAAAATAAGATTAGTTCTTTTTCCTCAGGGTACCAAAACAAATAAAAAGAAACAAATAAAAAAAAAAAGCCCTTAACTTATAAGGAGAACGATTGGCCTTTATATTTTAAAACAAACTAGTTAGTAATCGAGCTACTGCTCTTGAAAGGCTTTTTTTGATTAATGGATTTTTTGTTTGCCTTCAGGTCAGAGCTATTAGAGTTGTACATGCCTTTCTTTCTCTGTTGCCAGAATACCTGTGTGTATGTGTTCATTATCCCATAGATGGAGGTCCCTAACCTTTTTAGCACCAGGGGCCGGTTTCAGGCCAGACAATTTTTCCAAAGTCAAGGGGAAGAGGGGATGGTATTGGGATGATTCAAGGCACATTGCATTTATTGTTCATGTTATTTTTATGACTATTACATTGTAATATATAATGAAATAATTATACAACCTACCATAAATGCAGAACAAGTAGGAGTCCTGAACTAGTTTTCCTTCTCCTGCACAGTCCCCTCTGAAGGTATTGGGAGACAGTGACAGATGAAGCTTCTCTCGCTCGCCAGTCGCTCACCTGGTGTGGCCCAGTCCCTAATAGAACATGGACTGGCACGCTCCACAACCCAGGGATTGAGGACTACAGCCATCAAAAACTTCCAGAAGTATCAATCTTTGTATCCCCAGAGCCAGCAAAGAGCTTAGTCCCTTACAGATGCTACATAATGTCTGAACCAAGTCCTATAAAGACACGTACAAGGTCACAGCCAGAATGTATCCTCTTCCCTGTAATTATGGGCAGAAAAGAACAATTTCAAAACATTTAGTCTACAGGGTCCAAATTGGGATTCCATGAAATAATGTTGAAGGAGAATTTTATATGTAGTTTTCCACATATTCATGAAAAAGAAAAATATTTTAAAACCTTTGAATATTTGGAGAACTTTGCTTCCTCTTGGAGATGCATAATGCACCTATGAAACCTCTAAAGAGATATTGCAGCGTAAGAAAAGGGACTATTTGGTACATGTCTATTCCGGTTTCTAAGATAAAGAAGCAGTACGTTGCCTGCTTGGTTATTTTAAAAATTTGCAAGAATACACAGCCTTATGTAAAAGGAATAGTACCACAAGCTGAGAGTCAATTGAGAGAGGTGTAGGCTAAGAAGAAAAATGAGCTCATTAAATAATAAAAATCTGAAATACCAGGAACCACAAATTCAAGAACAATCATCAATAAAATTGACTTGCACAAACATGGTAAATAAACTTGAGAAACTCTAAGAACCCAAAGTCAAAAGACAGAGATTAAAAACCATGAGACAATTTGATAAACATTTTGAACAGAGGAACAGGTGACTCTATGAATTCACGGTGCTACACTCAGAAACACAGGCAGGTTAACAGCAAAAGCAAATCCAAGATGTAATTCAAATATTTCTGGGAAAAAATGAGTAAGAATATAGAAACTGCACATCAAATAACTTAACAAATTATGTTTAAAAACATAAAAAAAATACCCTACGTAGATTAATCCTAGAAAGGGTTGAATGGCCTGAAGCACACACATTCAGGACCTCAAAAAGGGACTGAGAAGAGTGTGAGGTCACAGGAGGGTGGAGACAGCCTGGCAGGCAGGCAGGCAGTGCCACAGTAGCCTTCCTTCACGTGGGGGTCCTCAGCTTTCCCACCAGGCAGACACAGGGAGCCAATACAGTCGTGTCCCACAAGCATTTATT